TGATTGCTCATTGAAAGGATCGATAATGAAGCTCAAGCTCAGATACTTTGGTCACCTAATGCAAAGAGAGATCTCTTTGGAGAAGACCCTGACGCTGGGAAAGATTGAAGGCAAAAGGAGAAGAGGACGGCAGAGGATGAGATGGTTAGATAGCATCACTGAAGCAATGAGCATGAAACTGAGCAAACTCAGGGAGGCAGTGAAGGACAGGAAGGCCTGGCGCAATATGGTTCATGGGGTCACGAAGAGTCGGACACGACTTAACAACTAAACAACAACAGCTGCAAAGAGAACTTGATGTGAGAGTACTGTTTTCAGAATAGTACAGTCTTTCCCAACATTTACTCAGGTTCTAACTGGACAAGAATAAGAAAATAAATTTCTTTTCCTTTTTGGTTCCTTTGAGTCACCCTTGACTCCTGGTGACTACATGGACAATTCCCTGCCGTTTTCCTGGTAACAATTGTTTGGAACTGGTTTTCCACTGCCTTCTTCCTAGGGCTGAGAGAGAGCGACTGGCTCAAACTCATCCTGCTGGTTTTGTCCCTAAGGCAAGACTAGAACTCATAGTCACCCAGTTTCTAGCCCAGTGCCTTTAACCATTACACCCAACTGGCTTTTGGTTTCATTTCAGTGTTTGAAATGTTTTGACCTTACAGTGTAGTTTTTGAATTGCTGGTATTTTTGGCCCTTAAACTCTTTATAATGTTCCCTCCCTTCCAATATATGAGTTTTCAGGGCCCCTAATCAAAGTAGTTTTTCTTTTATTTCCTGTTTCTTTTACTTGGATCTGTAGTGCTGTATTTATTAATCTTCCAGACTTGTGCTATCTTCCAGGGCCCCTGTGACTGACATACCTAAAGTTTTTCTTGAACAGAACAACACCTGCACAAGATCTTTTCATTCCTTTCTTAATAATGCAAGCTGGAATTTTCTTTTCACAGCCACCTCATGTAGAGTTGATTAAGCAGAAACCAGTGCTGTGCCATATTGTGCTTCAATGAGATTCTGCCATTTAGGAACACCTACCTAGTTAAGAGCAATATAAATAGAGAATCCTCAAGCACAATTTATTTGTCCCAGTTACAAGAAGTCAGGGTTTTTTGTACCTACATTTTTCATGAAAGAAGTGAACCAACTTGCTTTTCACTCTCTTTTTAAAACTTGCCTATAGGAACTCCACACATATTCAGTTTAGATTAGAATATATGTAGAATTTGTTTACATTAGAGAACAATCCTGTGTGTGTTTTTTCAGAAGACCCCCCCCCACCTTATGTTCAATGTAAACTGCATAGGATTGGATTCTTGATGTACTCAGCAGCAATCCCATAAACAATAATGTGTGTGTTGTATCAACTCTCAAGTCCACACAAGTAAGTCACTTTACTGAGAGGGGATTGGATTTAGTTAAGTCTTTTGTCAAGAGCAGTATCTCAGTATCTACCAGGGACTTAGTTCTCCTTTCTCCTGAGAAAATGGGCTTCTCTAAGAACCCCTT